GGTTGTGTCATGGGGTGGGGGGGGCACAGTCAGTCTGACAGTAATTAAGGGCACAAGGGGTGCAGAGGAGGTTCCTGGCGGCCTTAGCAAGCACTTTCATTGGTATGATTTGGAGTTGCGTTGATGGGCCTTGAAATGTGATCTGTTACGTGTCCTCAAGTGAGAAGATATCGTTGTGAAATAGGACCCAGAGAAACAGAAAGTTAAGGCATGGGCAGGAATGATGAGCCTTTGGGCTCTTAAAGACATCCTTTGCTGGCCTTCCCTGCCTGCCCTGTCTTTCTGCCCAGAGGTTACAGCTGTAAGGAGCAGGGATACCAGAAGAGACGAAGAAAGGAGAATGGTTCTTCGTGTCTTGATACCTGTTTTTTTAAAGAAACCTCAGTGTAGGGGAGGGGTAATCCTGGTTCTACATACAAACTGGGAGACAAGATGCTGGAGAGCAGCCCCACAGAAAGAGATCTGGGGGTTTGGGTTGATGGCAAGTTGAATATGAGTCAGCAGTTTGCCCTGGCAGCCAAAAAGGCCAACCGTGTCCTGGGGTGCACCAAGCACAGCACAGCTAGCCGGTCGAGGGAGGTGATTGTCCCGCTCTACCCTGCAGTTTTGGGCACCTCAGTATAAGAAGGACATTAGACTGTTAGAGTGTGTCCAGAGGAAGGTGGCCAAGATGGTGAGAGATCTTGAGGGCAAGATTCATGAGGAGTGGCTGAGGTCACTTGGTTTGTTCAACTTGGAGAAGAGAAGGCTGAGGGGTGACCTCATTGCAGTCTACAATTTCCTCGGGGGGGCAGCGGAGGCGGAGGTGCTGATCTCTCTTTGGTGCCCAGCGACAGGACATAAGGAAATGGTATGAAGCTGTGTCAAGGGAAGTTCAGATTGGACATTAGGAAAAGGCTCTTCACTGAGAGGGTGGTTGGTCACTGGAACTGGCTCCCCAGGGAAGTGGTCACAGCACCAAGCCTGTCAGAGTTCAAGGACTGTCTGGATGGCGCTCTTGGTCATATGGTTTAGTTTTAGGTAGTTCTGCGAGGAGCAGGGAGTTGGACTCTGATCCTTATGGGTGCCTTCCAACTTGAGATATTCTATGAGTCTATAATTGTGCTACAATTTTTTTTTTTTCCCCAAAGATCTCTATGTGTGCACCTAGGAACTGATACGCTATTATTTCTGAAAAATTAAGAAAACTACAATCCAAAGTGGGATATATACCTAGGGAAGAGAGAGAGCAGAAAGCATAAGATTTTACTAGAGGAAGCTGGTGATTTATAAAAGGGGGAAAAAAACCCCACCTCTATAGAAACTTTTAAATTTTTCTTTCCCTTTTAGTAGGGATTATTTTTGCTATTTTGCTTTTATTAAGTATGCACGCTGATGGAAATGCAGTGGTTTTTACAGGACTGAAAAAATTACAGTTTATCATCCTTTTACTTTAAAACCGCCATTGCCATGACCAGAAAACAAAATGAACTTTGCTTTTAACTGAGAATCTAGAGCAGCTTTGTGTATCCTTAAGGTAGGCTGGTAGAGGGAGAGACTGTAGAGGGCAGCTATCACTAATGAAGCAAGAACAGACTGCAACAATTTTCTGAGTTGGTTTTGAGGACTGATGTTTCAGGAACAGCTATTGGACTTAATAATACAGTCTACAAATAAATTTTTGTGCCTTTACAGACTAGTATAGACAGTTTACCCCACAAAACTCTGAATTAGGGTTTATTTTTATAAAATCAGACAAGCTTTGAATTTAAGTTTACTGTAAAGGGTAGTGTATTACAGCCCTTACAAGCTGTTCCAAGGTTAATTGCTCTCAAAATTAAGATGCTCTGCTTCCTTAATAGTCTGAATTTAACCGAACCTCAGCATCTACCTGTTGGGTTTTTGTTACACTTTGCTCCCGAAATTAAGCCTATAATGTGGCTTTTCCATTCCAATTGTAAACCATGATTTTTAAAATAAAATATTTACTGTGCATTGTAAGGGAAGCTCAGAGCGTTGAGTGGAAGACCTACAGCTTTGTGGAGATTCTCTTTCAGAACATGGTCAGGCTTGCAAGTGCAGAAAAGATGCTGTGGATCAACAGAACGCCTCTTCAGAGAAGGCGCATCGTTCAGCTGTGGGTGTGATGTTTATACATTTTGGAAATACATCTCCAGGGAGGATCTGGTCTATGGTTATTGTGTAACATCATGGAGTTGTATATGCAAATTCTTTTCTCTAGCTAATGTGTACTATTTAACGTATACTTTTTGAAGATAAACATTCTCCTACGCATTTCCAAGGAACAGCTTTTAATAGTACTTCAATTAAAATAATTTCCCTACAAGAATTTATATTTTGCCATACACTTAATTATTTTCAATGTACAGCTGATCTTTCAGCAGACGTGACCTTTTTTTCTTCTTTTTAACCTCCAAAGTAAGGAAGTGTGTGATTAGGCCTGTGTTAAGGGAAAAAATGCTTGTAATATGTGACAGAGGTTCCCATTTACTGAACTGGGAGACCATACAAATCTGGATAAAAAGGCTGTAGGTTTTCATATAAAGGCATTTCTTAAAGCCTGATCGTATTATCTATCCTGTTATCTGAATGTACCTAGGTACATACTGTATGCTAGTCCAGAAATGAGGTTTGAAACGAAAGTGTGCCTTTAAAATTGTGGAAGGTAATAGAATAAGAAGGAGGGTTTCAGAAGGTTGCATATCTGCTTATTAGCTCTGTACAATGCTGTAGGCATCACGTGATGAATCTGTGTCTTTTCCAGTGTATGGGACATCTGTATGATTTCTTCATGGCATACTAAT